CCACGTCTCGGAATCGGGTAAAATTTACATTTTCAGAATCCTCATACCCTCACGAGTCTAACCATACCAAAATTATTCAATTCCGATACCATTTGGTCTTTCAAATCATCATTTTACATTTTTGAAAGGTTTCACAATTTTCTTCCAATATTCCATCTCAAATCACGAATTAAATGAAGAATTCAGTGATAGATTCATGTATTCTAGCCAAATCTGAGTTAAAATCACTTACCCCGATGAATTTCTTGAAAAACCTTCGAAAAATCGCCAAAATCCGAGATCTCTAGGTCAAAATATTAAATAAAATCCAAAACCTCATATTTATAGGTACCCCTCAGATTTCAGCTACCGCGGGCCGCACCAAATCGACCGCGGTCCGCGCAAGCCAGTGCGGTCCGCGCAAACACAACCGCGGCCGCACAGGCCTTCCTCTGCAGTGACAGGCTTTAGTATTTTTGTCATAACTTTTGATCCAAATGTCCAAATTTCGATATCTTTAGTTTTCTGGAAACTAGACACGAAGTGCTACAACATTTGTGTTTGACTCACCTAAAAATTCCATGTATTTCAAAAAATATGAGCTTCTGAAGTTGGCCCAGCCGGAAGGTTCTTCACCGCGGCCGCGCCCACTTTTGTGCGGTCCGCGCGACGCCTTCCGCGCCCGCACTCATTTTTTTGCGGACCGCGTGGGTGAGTTCTGGGGCCTGCAACCCTCCTGGACCTGCTACAACTATGATTTTCGGCCTAAAACATCCCGGAACCTACCCGGGATCTCCGAAACTTTAAACTAATTGTACCAACACATCCCATGATATCGTTCAAACTTGTTCAACACTTCGGAACGCTTACAACAACATCAAATCACCAATTTAACATAGGATTCAAGCCTAAGAACTCCAAGAACTCTTAAATTATGCTTTCGATTAAAAGGTCTATCAAATCTTGTCCGAATGACCTGAAATTTTGCACACGCATCCCAAATGACACAACGAAGATACTACAACTCTCGGAATTCCATTCCGACCCCTATATCAAAATCTCACCTATCAACCGGAATTTGCCAAAATATCAATTTTGCCAATTCAAGCCTAAATCTTCTCTACAACTCCAAAACCCATTCTGATAGCGCTCCTAAGTCACAAATCACCTCCCGAAGCTAACCGAACCATCGGAACGCACTTCCGAGCCTTCTAACACATAAGTCAATATTTGGTTGAAAGACTAAGTGTCTTATTTCCGAACTAATCAACCCAATCACATAAAACACGGATAACGAAGCGTAAAGAAGCTGAAATGGGGGAAACGAAGCGGTACTCATGAGACGACTGGCCGGGTCATCACACTGCAGAACCTTTAGGAAAAACTTCACATTCTTGAATTCTCATCGTGCGACATTGATTCAGCTTGAAATGTAACTCTTGAAATTCCTTCCACGTGTTCGTATGCGCGCATGAGCGCTCGGTATCAACTATGCATCGACGGCTTGTGATTCCTTTATCAAGGGACA